TTATTTGAGGAACCATTGAGATACCAGTGTCCAGTTTGATCTCAAGGCTAGTCACGTAATCTTGAGAAAAATCAACAGAACTACATCCGTTGGTGGGCAGATGGGAGTGCTAGTGCACCATCTGCCCAAGAGATGTTGAGTTTATGATGATATAAAACAGAGAGGAGTAGAAACTCCTCATGCAGGAGAACATGAGACCATTAAAGAGACAGTAAAAGCTCTGCACCACCCTTACATGTGTTATGTTCCTGCAGCTCAGCGCTCAGCCCACGAGCTTCCCATGGTGGAAAAGCAGGACTTGGACAGCTGTTCGGCTTCGGGTGGACAGCAGATGATCCTGACTGGGCAGAACTTCAGCTCTGACTCAAAGGTCATTTTTCTGGAGAAGACTCCGGGTGAGTTTGGTTGTCTTTGGAATCTGAACCTGTGAAGCCTTTGCCTGTTGGTTCTGATACCACTCTGTACTGGGCCATAATAACACCACAACACCGGGTTGAGCCTCTGCGTTTGAGCAAAACATTTGTAGCAGTTTCATTTTTTTCACACCCGTTGTTGTAGAGATGGAGCCATGGGGGATTTGCATGATCCAGAGATCAATGCTGCTGCTTCACTTCCTGCTGGCCTCTCCTTCCTCCCTTACTTCCATGTTGTCCCGTCACTCAAAGGGACCTTTTGTCTCACATGAAGTCCTAACATGCCAGGGTTTGAATGCGGATGTAGATATTCATGGTTTATTTTTCCTGTCTGATCTGTCGGGACTCTGATTCAGTTGCTTTCTGTTAGCAAAGTGTTTGGCTCACAATTAGACACTCCTCAAACCTCCTAAACATCCTGGATTTCCTTGTTCTTTTTTGCTTCGGGGGTTCCCTGCTGCCGTGTAACAGTTAAGCAGATGGAAACAGAGCTTACAATGAGGGATGGCCGTTGTTTTGGAGCGTTTCCTTATGACGCAAAGTTCCGGATCAGAGCAGCCGTGAAATCCCTCTGAATATGACACAGCTGCGTTCGGCTAGAGCGCCTTGGATTCTTGTTGTTGGACAGTAGTGAACTTCCTGGGCCAAGTCAGAGTTACTCAGGCTTTCCCCAGCTCCATCGCCGCCCCTCCCTCAGTTCTCCCAGAACAAGTGGGGCTATCCCTGAGAGGAGAGCTGAAACAAAACGCAAACAACTCCACATGCCAAGAAAGCAGTAGTCATCACACTTTGTAGAAGACACGGAGAGAGTTTCTCATGAGATTAAAAAGCAGATACAAATCTTGGCAGCGTGTGTGGAATCCCCCTTCCTCCTGCTGACTCATTTAATCCACGTGTTTTTAATCTGTAGTTTGATAGAGGGCTTCCACCTACACAACAGCAACACACCTCCTCTCTGCGTGCATGGGCGTGAGCAGTGTGCACCAACAAACACTGTTAGTTTTCAAAATAAAATGTTTTTTTTAAAAGCATTCTGATGAGAAGTGACGTAGCTTAGACCCTCGTCACGGTGAGCTAGCTAACTATCAGTCAGTTCTGCATTCTGGGGCACACACTCGTATCCTCTCTGTGACTAGTGTGTGAGTGTGTGTTCAGGGTGAACAGACTTACAGTTTTGCTTGTGGGTTTGGCAGGAAGTGGGTTTTATCCACTAACTCAAGCTGTCGATAGAAGCCTGAGGTGAAATGAAATAAGTAACGAATGCTTTGACTATGAAAAGAAAAAGTTTCACTTCTTTCTTTTTAAATTTCTCACCACTGTGCATCAATGCACAATCTGTAATCACCACACACCGCCACTACTGGGATCAGTTCAGGACCACCAACATCTGACCGGCCAATAATGTTGCAGCGATGTTATCTGTCCACTGCTTTTGCAAGAGTGTGACAAAGGTTAGTGCTGTTGGTGTCAGCAGCTAAATGCACCATTCCGATGGTGTTTTTGAAATGAATCTTTCAATATTATGCAGGTCTCTGGTTTTTAATGGGGCTGGGGTCCTGTTGGCTTCGTTGGACTGGTATCTCAAACTTTCACCAGATCAGTTTGCAGCCGAGTGTAATCCGGCCATTATGAAAATCAGCACCTCCAAATCTGAGACTATGGTCTTGAGTCGGAAGAGGATAGAATGACTTCTATGGGCCAGAGACGAGGTCCTGCCCCAAATGGATGAGTTTTAGTATCTTGGGGTCTTGTTCCCAAATCAGAGGCAAAACTGAGCAGGAGATCGATAGGCAGATTAGTACCGGGTCGAAAGTGATGCAGGCGTTGTACCGGTCTGTCTATGGTTAGGAGAGAGCGAAGCCGGAAAGCAAAGCTCTAGATTTACCGGTTGATCTACGTTCCTACCCTCACCTGTGGTCATGCGCTTTGGGTAGTGACCGAACGAAATTATGGATACAAGCGGCCGAAATGAGTTTTCTCCGCAGGGTGTCTGGGCTCTCCCTTAAGCCTGATTCATGCTTCTCCGTCAGCTCCAACAGGGACAGACACGGATGGACGGAGACATTTTGTTCTCATTCTTCTCCGTCTCCTGGGGAGTGTTGCAAAGCAATTCCCCGCCAGGACAGCAGAGGGCGTAGCGCTGTTCTGTGGTATCCTGTCATGTATCGGTCCAAGATAGTGTGTTTATATTGTGTTTTTGTTTATAAGAGACTTTTTAACACGGACTAATTTGTCTCTCATCCTCCTCCACCTCTTCATGGGCTCGCCACCTCTAAACCCACGTTTCCTGTCATTTACGTCCACAAATAAAACGCTTGCTGTGCATCTTTTCACTCCTCCAGTCACGGGGAATTAAACGTTCATGTTTTTAGAGTTTTTTCGCGAGGTATTCTTCAAGCTGCTCCGTGTCTGCCGCTAGTTATCCTCGGCTCTCTTTATGTTTTTGAGGGTGCAATGGCGGCGGTGTAGACGACAGCGGCGTCCTGACCAATCACAAGCTTGCATTCTCCGTCTCGATGGATGGATGTTTAGAAAAGAGAGCTCGACTCCGTCCGTCCTTGCGGAGCTCTCCGGCAGGCCCACAAGGACGGATAATGGCGTTGCGTGACTCCGCACCGACGCAGACGCAGAAGCATGAATCAGGCTTTAGAGATAGGGCGAGAAGCTCGGTCCTCCGGGAAGGGCTCAGAGTAGACCCGCTGCTCCTCCACATCGACAGGAGCCAGTTGAGGTGGCTCGGGCATCTGATTAGGATGCCTCCTGGACGCCTCCCTGGTGAGGTTTTCCGGGTACAAGACTCAAGGGAATACCCAGGACACGCTGGAGGAGCTGGCCTGTGTGGCTGAGGAGAGGGAAGTCTCTAGGCTGCTGTCTCTGTGACCTGACCCCGGATCAGATGAGGAAAATGGATGAATGGTTGGATTGATTGATTGACTGTCTTTAACCTTTGAGACCAAGCTTCATGATCCAGGATGGTCTATGGCACATTTCTAGATCATGAATCAGCTGTTTAGGCTAGCTTAATGCCACTTTCAGGAAGTACTGTGTTCAGAGCTAATAGAGCTAATGTCATGCACATTCCCATTGCTGGACTGGATAGCTGCAACGTACGTTCAAAACTGTCTGCCAGTGGTAGATTCACACAAAAACTCACACATTTTCTTCACCTGACTAAAAAAATCTCACGTTTACTGTTTTCTTCCTAGATGGACAACAAATCTGGGAAATGGAAGCAACAGTGGACAAGGACAAGAGCCAGCCTGTAAGTGTCATCGGTCCAACTTGCTACACATCCTGTATTTTTAGCTCATCTTTCACCAAAGGAACACTTTGAGTGTGTAACTAAGTTTGGTTTTGCAGAGTATGCTCTTCGTTGAGGTTCCTTCTTACCGAGACACCTCCTTGTGCCGTCCTGTCAAAGTCAGCTTCTACGTCATCAACGGCAAGCGAAAGCGTAGTCAGTCTCAGCATTTTACCTACACCCCGCTGACATGTGAGAACTTAGTCCAACTCCTCAGTGTGAATAATATAAAAAGGGGTTTTGGTCACTTGGAGGAAAAAAAACTGGTTTTGAGGAAAAAGTTGAAATGTTGAAGGTATATTTTGAGATTAGAGTTTTCATTTTGAGATTAAAAACTAAACGAAAACCAACAAAAGCCCTGGTGCAAAGTTCGGCCATGACCATGATACCTTGTGTGAATAAACCAAGGTTAACTTTAAATTCCCGTTTGGTTTTATTAAAAACTGCTGGTTTTGCTGTATCTCTCCCCTGCAGCCGAACACAAACAGTGAATAACTTCTAAAGAACTTTGGGCTATAATTTCAAAACCAGGAACCAGATGTTTCTTCCTCCGTCTGAGCCACCCCGACCGACGCTGTCACACAGCCATGTCCACCATCATCTTACGGCTTGCCTTTTTCTTTTAGCTCCATGCATTAAAGCAGAGCCTCTTGATGAATACGAAGCAAACCACATGGCCTACGGAGGGCCTCAGATCTTACCACCTCATTCCTACTACCATAACCCTCGCAGCATACTCCACCCAGACAATGGCCTCGTATCCAGCATGGCCTCCTGCCAGCGTTTCAGCTCCAGCCTTCCAAACCATGATGCACGATTCCAACGCCAGAGTCCTACTGTTGTCTACTCCCGTGGAGGGAGGAGCCTCAGTGATAGCCCTGGCTCTTGGCAGACTGTTGGTGTGATGACTGACCCCCATCGGTCAGTTCTTGCCCACACGGGGCCACCAGTCCAGTCTGTTGGTCCCATCAGTCCACCTCAACACTCCTCCATCATCCAGTTCTCCCCCACCAACCACCACCTACTTCGAAGTGGAGATGCTCCAACCCTCCCTCCTCCTCAACCTGATAACCAACAAATGATCTACTGTGACGGCTACTCCCCGCAGCCTTCCCCTCACTCACCCACACACCCCCAGTCCCACCCAGAGCACTGTCCCACTGTGATTCAGCAGAAAGACCGTGCCCCATCTGGGACCAGACAGATGGAGGCCTCGGGAGGCGTGCAGCGGCGAGTGACGATCAAGGAGGAGAACCTAGACCAGGCCTACCTAGATGATGGTGAGTGTAAGTTCATGCTTCGTGCTCTCTATGAATCACGTCTTGTTGTGTCAGCCGTGTAATCATGTGGTGAAAAAACAAACACTGGCAGACTTTAGTGATGGATATGTGGATGACAGAAATGGAAGATAAGACCAACCAGAAGTTCTCTAAAGAACAATTCATGGATATTTACAGTATCGGCGTGGTCTCTCAGTTTGGTCTGTGTGCCTCGGTATCCTCTGAACGAAGCCAAAATGCTGTTAAAACAATCTGTGCTAGGAGGTGTTCCATTCAAAGTGGAAATAGCCACGGCTTGAGTCACATGTTTATACTTGTGCATGTCAACCTCATTACCCTCTGACAGAATTAATGTCAGGCCACATCCAGCAGCAGGCAGGAGTTCCAACTTTCTCCTTGAGCTGGAGCTAAAGGTTCTCCAAACTGTTTATTATAACAGCGGTAGAACCTCCAGGGTTTGTTGGCAGGGGGAGGCTTAAAGGCAGCTTTAAAAAACAAAAAAACAAATTCCTGCTCCAACCAGCATCAGTCCCTCGCCTGCTCTCAGGGATCATCTGGCACAGCACGCCTCAGGAGAGGTCTTTTTAAAACGCTCGCAGCAACGAGAGCCGGGGAGAGAAAAACGTGTCGCTTTGCTGACTGACTGGCCGTGTTCACGCTGTTATGATGTGAAAAACAACCTCCATGGCAACCATTGTCAAACAGTGGAACGTGCTGCCTGGGAGAACGGGGGAAAACCTCTGTTTGTTGTAGTTGGCCGGGACTTCTCCTTGGCCTTACACCCCTCGACTCTAAGAGGGGAGCCCACCAGAGGATTGGCTTTTCTTTCCGACCACGAGTTTCTGACAGTCTGGCACAAGAAACACCTCTGTGCAGCTGCTGCGCTGCAGAAAACCAGCCTGATCCCTGCAAGATAGCAGCAGGGTGGAGGGCAGTGTGCAGGAAAAGGGAAGGAGCTGTGTGTGTGTGTGTGTGTGTGCATTTGTGTGTGTGTGTGTGTTTTAATGGAAAAAATGAAACGCAGAGAAAAAAGCTAGCCTTGGAATTTGTGGTTTTTGGAAGGGACTCGCAGGGCTTCCCTCCACGGTAAACAGTAACAGGTCTGTAGGCCGCTGAATTAACGGGGAGTTTGAGAAAGTCACACAGGGGCCCTTTTGGATCCCCCCCGTCCTGGAGTCACAGAGCATCATTTCCCCAAAGTACCCCCGCATCAGTTTATTCAGATCAAGGACACACCTGCCATCAAAAACACACGGAAACAACCTGACATGAATATAAAACTGTGAGTAAGTGTGTGTGTGTGTGTGTGTGTGTCACTAGAAAACAAAAATGTCCATCGTGTCACAGTGAATATTTGGTGTACTGATGAATGCAGCTCTTGCAATATTTCGAGACATTGTGCAGAATATTTATTCCACCATGAGATGATCTCACTTTAAAAAGTACCTTCAGACAAACAGAGTAAGGCCTAGTCCACACGTAGACGTGTTTTTTAAAAAACGAATATCCGCCCCTCCAAAAACTTGCATCCACACCACCGCGTTTTAAAAAAACTCTGTCCACACGTACCCGGATAAATACGTTGTTAAGGACATGCCAGACCTGTAGGCGGCAGTACTTCCCCCGTTCTTAACCTCGTCCTTCGTCTGTGGTCTTCCACAAGGAGCAGTAATTCTGCTTGCAAAAACAAACAAGCAAAAAGCGCTTGGACAATTGATGGATCGGGTAGTGACAGAGCGCAGCTCTGAGGGCATCCATGATGTCGGCTAGTGTAAACACAGGTCGCACACGTGATGTCAGCAGTTTTTTGTCGCGGAAAGTGACGTTGCGGACCTTAAAACTCCGGTTTTGTCTGTCCACACGCAGACACCCAAAACGGAAAAAACGCAGATCTTCACTTTGGCCGGAGTTTTTAAAAAGATCCGTTTTCGTGTGGACGACAGGCCAAAACGTAGAAAAATATCTACGTTTTGGCAGATCCCCGGCTACATGTGGACAGGGCCTAAATGTCACAGAGGCAAATTATCTTGCTCTACAGATCTGTAAACATTGCATCACAGACTCGACGGACCTCTTATTTTTTGATGAAAAGATAATCTTGATATTTTTCTGATGTGTCCTGTAAGAATATAAAATCCCCATTCACAACGCATCAGGCTACATAGCTGCTCCTCATCCCTCCTAGAGGTTATTACACATCACCTCTTATCATTTCTGCTTTAGTGAGGAAGAAAGAGGGACTTCCCAATTTGCAAATCTTAGAAGTACAAAAGATCCCTTTTAGTTTGTGTGTAAAAAAACTAGAGACGCTCTTTATCTCGACAGCAGGTCGGTATGACTCATCCAGACGTTTTACGTCACAAAAGAAAAGTCCAGATGCCACATCTTGCTATCGAGTTTCCTCAGAATGTGAACTTTACTGTAGATTGAAGTGCTAAATGAAAGTCTGGGTTCTCAGTTTGAACCCACCTGTTTAATTTCCCCCATGCAGAGGCCTTGTACCATCTGGCTTAACGGCAGCTCTCACCGTGTCTCTGGTTGCATTTCATAGACATTTTTGGACTCTGCGTCTCAGAGAAACCAAGAATGTTTGGAGTTACTTGCTGAAACCCGCGGTCAGCAAAAAATATAATACGGAAACTGGAATAGCCTCCAAAATCTGGGAGTGACAAGTTTAGTCTGTGTGGAAAAGGCCTGGAGGCAGTGGAGCAGGTGAACTTGTTCCAGCCGGCGGAGATCAGGGCCGGAGAGATAAAGCACACAGCAACAGCCGGGTGGATGCACATTAGTCTCAGCTCACTTGCAGCCCATTTAGGAGGCTTTCTCAGCGCCGCTTCATAGCTGCATCAGGATGGAGACAAGAGTGGACATGCTCTTATTTACCCTGAAAACTGGCTTGAGAGGAGAACTCTTCCAGAAGAAATGACATCATAGGACAAGGTTGTCAGAATCACAGGCAGGGTAAAAATAATTAGCTTTCGTTTGCATATCGGAGAAACCGTAAAGCAGTCGATGTTACCAGTAAAGCTTCTTTCAAAACAACCGTCACAAGGTGGCTCACATGACAGAAAATACACAAAAATCTAATAAATCAAGTTAAAATGAAATAATAAAGTAAGTTAAAAGTCAATTAAATATTAGCATGTCAGGGTGAAAAACAAGTCTCACATAAAATCTAAAAGAAAATTAAAATATGACTTTTAATGACTTTGAGGTGCTTCTACAAACAGATCTTAGTGACAGTGTATAGTTTCCTGCCTCTAGGGGGCAGCACATACATTTCAGGGTAGTTTTACACCATATGGGCGTGACTGTCGCTAATTTAAAAACATAACGGTAAATGTTGTTACCTGTGGAGCAGAAAGCAGCGTAGAGAGAATGCAATGCTGATTGTAGTTTTCTGGAGCTGTACTTCTGGGTCCCGCGCCTGCCGATAACGTTAAACTACGGCAATACCCCTCAGCCAAAATAGATCGCTTTTTTTTTTTCAATTCATCTCTTTCACGTAGGTTTTGGAAAGAGTGAATCGGTTTTGTTATAACATTCATGTTTCTTACTACCTGAATGTTTTGAACGTAGTAACAAAACCTCTATAAGTCATACTTCCAGCCAATCATGTAGAGCAGGGATGTCAAGCTCATTTTAGCTCAGGGGCCACATCGAGGGAAATCTAGTCCCAAGTGGGCCGGACCGGTAAATTAAAAACAACTTCAGATTGTTTTCTTTTTTTTAATACAATCAATATAAAACAAAGCTGGGGCCTGAGGACAGTGTATCCAAAATAGTACAAGTACAACATCTGAAGTGTACTTGAAAAATTGAATAAAAATAAATAAATAAATAAATAAATAAATAAACATTCCATAGTGATTCAAAGAGCTTACAGATCACACGGCTAGATCAGTTTCATGCAGCACTTAAAGTAAATTTGACTCATTTTACTTTACATCTTTTAGCTTTCACCAGCACATCAATATCAGAAGTCACATCCTGAGTGGCGGCCATCTTCAGGATGTGATTCAAGTTCTTGTGTGAGCCTTGAGCGCAGCTTTGTTTTATTTATACTCATTACAGAGAAAACTTGCTCACAAAGATACGTTTATTTTCACTCTACATTGTAAAGTATGAAAATAAAGTTTACAGAACCATCTTGCGGGCCGGATTTAACCCGTTTGCGGGCCGATGCGGCCCGCGGGCCGCATGTTTGACGCCCCTGGTGTAGAGTGACATCATAAACAGTCGCAGGACCCCGAGCCGGCCAGAAGGAAACATGGCTTCTTATGGGCCATTCCCATCTGTACCGGGTCGGCCCGGGCCGGGTAGCCCCAGTCGGCCCCAGCCCGGCCCGGTTGATTCCACACATCCTTGTCTTAAGCCCATGTGGGCTGATTCTTCCCACCAATCAGAGGCTTGCTCTAATGGAAGGTGTTAATTTGCTGTCAGCAGTGGGTGTGTTGGCCCGGGCCGGCCTGAAGCAGACCCCCTCGAGAAGAGGGCTGAGAATGAGCCTTTGTTGGCCCGCAAAAATACCAGGCTACCCAGATATGTAAACAACCTACGCTACCCGGCCCAGGCCGACCCGGTACAGATGGGAATGGCCCATAAAATGGCATCCCTCTAAGATGCTAGACCCGCTCACTATGCACTTTTGACCCGATTTTTATGGTTATGTTACAAAGCTGCCAATACCTTTCAAACATTTCCATGGATATTTCCAGAGATTAACTGTAAAAATAAACATTGGCACTTCAAAAACTAAAAAAAAACAACCTGATCAGAATCTGAGACGCTATATCATTACCATGAATGAGTGATGATCAGGTTCATCAGCTACCATGACTTTAAAGGGCAAGTTAACGATGAAATAGTTTTGTTTCTTGTTATTTCTAAAATATAATTGACCACTCTGGGTTTCACATGCAGGCTGACTGTGAAAATGCTCTTCTACCCTTTTTCACATATTAGCTGAAAAACAAAACCGACAGGAAAACGCTGAGATCTGCGTC